GCAGTGACCACTGTTTATAAACTGGTGTGGGGTTTCCAGGAGTTTCTATGTCTATGCATGTTTGTATATATACATCCAAATAGGCTTTTATATTTCAACATAAATAATCCGACTATATATATTATTCTGCTACCTGCTTTCTTTTTTGATCAACATGTTTTGAAGTATTTTCAATTTTGCCTTAATTTTAGCTAGCTTTGGGTCCCACGGTATAAATAGACTCGATTTCTTCTGTCAGTTTCCTTCTGATAGATGATCAGGTAGTTTTCAAATTTTCACTTTTATGATGTTTTGATGAGAATACCTATATTTGTGCAGATGTGCAAGCACTTCTGTAGACTACTTTTCTAGAAGTGACTTTGCTTGGGTAAAAGACACACACACTTTGATGGATGCTGTGAAAATTAGCTACAAAAATGCTTTTTTCAACTGCACTCCTTGACCACATATCAAAGAGCTGGATTCCCACATCTTTTGAAACAGTGGATACTAGCAATCTTGCAAGGCTCTTGAGAGCAGATGGGTAAAAAATGCCATTTTGGCTTCTGCTGATATTTTAAAAGATTTGATTTTCTTCTTTGTATACAAATATGCACATGCCTTTGGAGAAACATGTGCATCTCCTATCCTGTACCCTGAACTATGTAATTCTAGAAGCCTTCACAGCCAGATGTGCTCTCTAAGCAAATCATTTTGATTTGACAAACTGTCCTAGTGAAATAGCAGAATTCTGTCCTCTTTAGCATTCACTATTAAAATGGTAGCTATTGTTGCTCTTGAAACTTGTTGGAATATGTTTATTTAATCCAGATTCCTTAAGATAGCTGAATTTTGACAAATTCTTGGACTTGCTTTATGAAACTGGTTAAATTAAATTGAGTGTTGAAAACTGCCCATACCTCTGGATTCTCCAACTAACCTCCATCCATCCCCCATCCCCATTTTTAGAAAATCTGCATATTGGATGTATTTTTCTTTTAGATGTTTATTTATGCATACAGAACAGGGGTATAGGCCAGAATTGCAGGAAGAGTAAGAGGATTCAGCAGAGACAGAGTGGGGAGCAGAACAGGCAGATTGACAATTTACACTGCTGAAGGGAGCAGTGGGCAAGACAGGTGATATCTGCTGCACCATGTAGATCACCTCCTCAGCTACCAATCAAACTCGTGCTGACATGGCTGCAGCTGGCTCCACACTTGTGCTTTTTAAACTACTGTGCCCCCAGGGAGGGTCCTACTGAATGTATTTTTTAATAGTATTTAATGGAGAAAAAAGTAAATCCAAAGAATCTTTTATTTTTTCCCCAAACATGAAGGAGTTAGTTTCCAGCAGAGCATTGGAATCTGAGTTGCCTAGGGGGGGGGGCGGAGTTTGTAAGGTGGGGGTTGATGACACTTTCTTCTGACCCCATACTGTCAGAAGGCTTTGCAGCCTGTATCCCTGGGGCTCAACCTTCCTGAGTGTAGAGACAACTGAGAGCTATACTGAGTGGAGAATGATTTATTCAGTATGGATTGACTCCTGTTTGTGGGGAGTTTGTGGGGAACAACTCAGGGATAGATAGGCCAGTTAAAGATTTTTTTTCTTGTAAATGATGAAGTTATTACTAGCAGAAATCATCCCTTCAACAAGTATCCAGTGAGCTTCTGTGGGGCATTTTCTCCAATACCTTAAAATTCCATGAGTTCTTCACCTGCCAGCACCCCCTACCTCCCATCAATTGCCATTTCATTCTGAGCTGGAGGAGCCCTTGGCCTCCCCTGGGAAGCGCCCAAGAGTGGGGTTGCTAGAAAGTGAGACTCTGCCCACCTGTTCCCATGCTATGTTTTGCCTCTTTCCTGTCTCTGCCAGAACCATTCCTCTTTTTCCTTTTTTGACCTTTCAAAAATGTTTTAATTAGAGAAAGAGTTCTACTGCAAGATTTGAAAATGGTAGCGTTCCTTCAGGAGAGTGGACAGACTTTATATATCTCTTTCTGGTGATGTTAGTGTGTGCAAAGACAAAATGATCAATGTCATCACCTTGCTCTGCATTTATCTAGTTGACACAAATCCTAAGCAGCACCATTTAAAACCTGGCATTTCTTTTTTATTTGTTGGTATCCTAGGTAAGGCAATATTTGAAGAGATGGTTGGAGGATACTTTTGTTATCATGGATCTGAATTTCCATTACCATTTTTCTTGGCCACTCATTCTTAGTATAGGAAAGATTTAAGGGATGAGTGGAGTTGGAGTTTTTCCTTTTTGGACTGAAAAACATACAATATCTCTGAAAGTAAGGTTTCTATGTATTTTTATGTATTTAGATTTCTCCAAGAACTTTGTAAGAACTCTTTAGCTATACAAATGACGTTTGCAATAATAATCTATTCTATAACTGGTACTTGGTGGTGGTGGCAGAATGTTTAGCATTTTTTTAAAGATTTATTTATTCATGCATACAGAACTGGTGTTCAAGTCAGAGGTGCAGGGTCGGTGAGAGGCTTCACCAGAGACGGCGTGGGGAGCAGAACAGGCAGACTGACAAAGTACACTGCTGAGGGGAATAATGGGTGGGTCAGGAGAGGTCTGCCATGCCATGTGGGTCACCTCTGGGGCAGGCGGGTATCGAACTCATGCTGAAGGGCTTTAGCTTCTTAGTGCTATGCTTTAACCTGCTGTGCCACTAGAGAGGGCCAGCAATTCTATTTAAGTGTGTGCTACAAAATCATGAATAAGTGCTTTATAAAAATGTCTTCATATTAAACGATTCCATTCATAATGGAAAGGAGAATAGAGTAGAGGAGGTGAGAGGATCCTAATCGTCACTACCTACTAGTGAGCACTGACCTTATTTACTAAGGAAGTGGAAAATGTATTTGCTCCAGGTTAGCATGAACTTTGGAAATACTATATCCTTGTTCACTTTTACTAAAAGTAAAAGGTCATTATTATTTTTTAAAAAAAAACTTTTTTTTTAAAGATTTATTTATTCATACAGCACTGGGGTACAGACCAGAGATGCGGAGGGTGAGAGGATTCACCAGAGACAGAGTGGGGAGCAGAACAGGCAGATAGACGAAGTACACTGCTGAGGGGAGCAGCGGGCAGGTCAGGAGAGGTCTGCCTCGCCATGTGGATCTCCTCTGGGGCAGGCGGGAATCGAACTCATGCGGAAGTGGCTTAAGCTTCTTAGTGCAGTGCTTTAACCCGCTGCACCAGCAGGGAGGGCCGTAAAAGGTCATTATTAACATCATCATAGTAGCCAAAAGATAATTTCCTAAAAGTAGATTAGCAGGTAGTCATAATTGATAATTTCCAATGTATGCATTAGTATATATTCAGTAATAACAGGCATATCTATGGCTAAAATCATCCAGTCCAAATTATAACTAAGGAGATAGTTATTCTGTCTCACTTTATTTTGTCTTAATAACTGTCACCAGGAATATTTAAATCACTGTTCAGTTGGTTCTGTAAATATTCACAAGGAGCCAAAGTGTGCAGAATATTTTTATTAAGAGGATTCCTAAAAGAACATTATTCAGCTTTATAAACAATTCTTCTGAACTTCATTTTCTTGGAGTAGGAGGGAGCAAGGGAGGATACAATTTTATGAGGACTGGAAACAGAGTTTCTTGTTGAGAGCTGCCTCCAGTTAATTATACATTTTTTAAAATTTGATATGTGTGTTGTTTACCACCTAGTTCTCATTTCATTCATATTTCCACAAGAGCAGTGGTTCTTAATATGTTTGTTTTGGGAGTGGGGGCTCAGTAACAGTGGCTGACTTAGCAATGCGTGGGGCATGGGGGAGGCATTAGAAAGGACCCTAAGTGATTCAGCTCCGTGGCTTTCCTCAGATACTCAATGCTTCCAAACTCTCTGTGCTGCTCTTCTGCCTTCTCATGTGTTGGGTTAGATTTATAACAGCTGCCGTGGACATGGTTGCCTAAATCTGTGGAATGTTTTGCTAAATGTTGCTGGTGAGCTAGTCCACATTAAGCCTGTAAACCCTCCCCCTCTTTTTAATCTATCTTTTATCCTTAGTCTTTTACCCACTTGATCACTTTATGATTTTACTTTAACATTCTAGAGATTCATTGAAATGTTTATTCCAAGCACCAGAGCTGTATTTATCATGATGAGTAGCCAAAGTATTATTCTGTTTGAACTAAGTAATGACAATGTGTTTGATTGGTGCCTTGTAACTGTTAGTTTAAAATCTAAGTAATGGATTATGATCTCATAAGCATATGATCCAAGAAAATAATACTTATAACAGCAACCACTTAGAAGAAAGTAAGTACCCCCATCACAGGCCACAGGGTCCTGTTTTGCCTGGATTCCCTGGTTCCCTTTGCTGTTCCATTTCTTTATCCACTAACCTTCCTCACCTTCTTCTCTGCTGCCTTGGGCAGCACCACTGCAGTCTTTTAGTGACTTGAAGTAACTTGGCACTTTAGACAACTTAGGAATTACATTTGTTATTCTCTCTACTTGGGAAGTTACTCCATGGGCACTTTTTGAACTGGCGCCTTTAAGATCCCCAGAGTCTCACCTCTTTAGGAAGACTTTTCCTGGCCACAGTGAAGAAAGTCATCTCTCAGCCCCTCCCTGTTCACACAGACAGTGTACATCGTTATCCCTCAGAGACTGCTATATCCCTTAAGCATTCAGAATGCTTGGTGCTTATCTAACTTTCCTGCTGGACACCAAGCTCCATTAGTGTCCAGAGAAGACTGTATTCAACAGAGCCATACACACACACACACACACACACACACACAAATACATATATGAGAGAGAGAGAGATATGAATATATTCACTGCAGACCCAATGCCATCCTGGCATCTGGCATTAAGTGGATACACAGTATATGCTTGTGATTAAATGAATATTCCAAGGGTCCATATTTTCCTAAACCTATATCACAATATTCTAAATTTAATACTTCTATTGTGATATATGTTCTTTCAGTGGTTGAATTTAACCAAACTATGCTGACTTTTCTCAGGCATATGAAAGATCAGAATAAGAAGGTGGCCAACCTCAAGCACAATCAACAGTTAGAAAAGAAGAAGAATGCTCAGTTACTGGAAGAAGTTCGCAGGCGAGAAGATAGCATGGCTGACAACTCGCAACACTTGCAGGTAAGTTCATGCTTCTATGAAGCCCTAAATAAATGGAGACTGACTCTGAATGAAAATGTACCCATTGCTGTGGGAAACTTTACACAGAAACGTGGGTGTGATTTTGCACAAATCTAGCCCTGTTTTCCCAGGAAGCTCAATGGCATCATTTTCAAAATGGTGCCCAAGGAAAACTGATTGAGGAGGAGTCTGCTAATGCTGCAGAGTCTCTTGGTTGCTGCTGTATCTTACCTTAAAAGGTAAGGACTACATTTACGTGGTTGGCAAAAAACTTAACACTTAGAAACCTCTTCCCTTTAGAATTACAGTTTTGTTTTGGTGGTAGTAGAAAGGAAATGTGCCTGTATCATCACAGAAGGCAGTTGGAAAAGGATGCATTAAGTTGATCTCAGACAGTTTACAAAACTGGTTTTGTTTTGTTCAAAACTCTGAGTCGCTGAGACAAGTCATTATTCTGTCTTCTCTGTTGAATATAGTTATCTCTCAATGGATAGCCCTATCTCGGAAACTAACCAACTGACTGAAAACACCAATTTTTCCTCATTAACGATCCCTGTTTTTGGCAAAGCAGCTCTCCCCATGTGCTCAATAAAACATTCAAGCTAAAACAGGGTGTTCACTTTGAAGTTCCTTTATTTACTCCAGTGTGCGTTTAAACAGAACAGTTGAAGTTCAACTTGGCTGGACTTCATATTAAATTCTGCTTAGTAATTAGTGTCTTTCTCCAGTTATATTTTAAGTTTCCTCCTTGAAGATAGGAGAAGTTAGATAATTTCAGTATGTACTCATAGTTCATCTTTTTAATTGACTAAAAATAAATAATTATTTCTAAATAGAAAATATAAGGAAACAATTTGCAAAAAGCATGCTTACTTAAAGGTAACTTAATCAATATTAGTTTTTTTTTATTTCCTGTGCCCTGGAGTGGCCTAAATTGTGTCACTTAAACACCTGTGTATTGGTGCCTGGTTCAGATTGTGTAATGGTAGCCCTTGGCTTAGTCCTGTGTCCACCGTAGCGTGAGTCAGTATCTTATTTATATCTGTAGTTTTCTCAGTATTCTTGCCTAATAATATTTCAGGGTTTTATGTCTTAACTTCGCCATCAGTCATATGCAATGTTAGATTGGAGCCTACAGACTTAGATATTAGTAAGTAAAAATTTTTAGAACCTTTCACTGCCTCGTCAACCTCATTCTCTCACTTATTCCTCACATTCCTCACACAATGTCAATTATTTTACTTATGGTAAAACTGGATGCTCAGGAAAAGTAATGAAGTGACATCCTAGCAGGAGGTGGAGATAGACCCTGGTGGCTGATTTCCCTGCTTGCAAGAACCTAATCAAGAGGAGCATTAATAGTAGTATGGTCTCCTGTATGGAACTTTTCAATATACTGGGAATTGTGCCATATACCATGGCAGCTACTTAATTCTTATATCAGTTGGGCTAGTCCGGTATCTTAGTTCCAAATGACAGGAGAACAACTGAAACTGAAACAAGTAAAATGGGGTTTTGTTTTTTAAGATTTATTTATTTATGCATACATAACTGGGGTACAGGCCAGAGGTACAGGGGTGGTGAGAGGATTCACCAGAAACAGAGTGGGAAGAAAAATAAGCAGATTGACAGAGTACATTGCTGAGAGGAGCCACAGGTGGGTCAGGAGATGTCTGCTGCACCATGTGGATCACCTCCGAGGCAGGGATCGAACTCACACTGAAGCAGCTGTGGTTAGCTTACAGTGCTGCATCCTAACCCCTTGCACCATCAGGGAGGGCCAGAAATCTCTTAACTAAATGAACTAAGAAGACCAGGAGTGCACTTCATACCTGACTATATTCAGCTATTTAATGACACATCAGAACCTGTTTCTGTCACCTCACAGGTGAGCTTTGCTTTTGTGGCCTTTATTCTTAAGAAGGCTGCCTGAGAGATGCTAACAGTGGCTGCTAGCAGCCACCCAGATTCTATGAGAACAGTGGGGAGAAAAAGGTTTTTTGGTGGTTCCTGTAAAAGTTCAAAGAACAATAAAGTGCATAAATTGGCCAGGCCAGGATCAAGGCATGCAGTCACCTGGAAACTAGAGGGGCAAGGATAGCTTTACCCAATTCCTGTGGGCTGAGAGAGAGGACATGTAACCTCTCGCTAGAAAAAAAAAGTCTGTTACCAGAAGAGGTAAGAGCCTGCTAAAACCACAGAGGTATACAGCTGGCTCCATATGTGGTAGATTAACTATTATCTCATTGATATGTAAAAAGAATTGAAGAGATTAAATAACTTGTAAAATTATTTAACTAGTAAGTAGCAGGACCCAAACTCAAATCTGAATCTATTTTTTTTTAAGATTTATTTATTTATGAATATAGAATTGGTGTACAGGCCAGAGCACAGGTGAGGTGAGAGGATTCACCAGAGACAGAACAGGGGGAGCAGAACAGGCTGACTGACAAGGTACACTGCTGAGGGGAGCAGCGGGCAGGTCAGGAGAGGTCTGCTGCACCATGTGGGTCACCTCTGGGGTGGGTGGGGATCGAACTCATGCTGAAGTGGTTTTAGCCTCTTAGTTCTGTGCTTTAACCCACTGTGCCACCAGGGAGGCCCCTGAATCTGACTATTTTTAATGGTGAGAGTTCTGAAGAATTAACAACAGAGGGAAAGAAAATATGGTGTGGCACAGGATCTTCATGTAATATAGGTAGTTTTGATGCTGAATGAGTTTAATATGGAAAGGGTAGCACAGTGGGGAAGACCCTTCAGGCAATACAACTATCAGGAAAGGCACAGAGGTTGCATCGAGTCAGATACCATCAGGACACAAAACAGATGTGCCAGTTGACCTAAATGTTGCTATATCTGGAACTAGAATTCCTGAGTTCATTCCAAGCTTAACAATTTACTAGCTGAATGTTTTGGGGGTTACTTAACCTTCTTAAGTTGTAGTTTTCTCATCAGTAAAATGGGAATAATAACTGCCTACACTCCAGAGTTGTGAGAACTAAGGAGCCAACACATATAAAGAATTTAGAATTGTACTTAACACAACTATACTAAAAATAAATGTTAATGATTGACTGTTACAATAATAAGGAAATGAGAAAAGAAATATTTTTAGAAAGTGTTTTTAATTATATGTATGAGCATTTTATAGTTCTACTCTGATACGCTCCGAGCATCAATGTATCTGTCATTTCTGTAATAATAATTTTTTTTGCTAAGAACACATCTAGTTATGGAAATTAATGTTTTGTTTTGGCCCATGAACTTTTGTATAGTAATATTTTCATGGGGAACTATGATAACTACCTCATAGACCTGTTCATAAAAGATAACATGGTCTGGAATTGCTTAGTTGCATTCCTGACCACCCCAAATAAAGGATAGGATTTGAAATGTAATAAAAATTAATCATGATTAATTTTGATGAAAATGTCTCTGGTTAAGGTTAATGGAGAGTAAAACTCCCACTTTCCTGGATTGTTAAGCAGATGTACTCAGATGCAGTAATTATTGCCTCTGAAGACAAAATTTTCTTTTCTAGGGGCACTTGATTTTTTTTTTTTTTTTGATATTGCTGTGTTTTAAATAACTCCTGCTTACAAGGCCCGGTTAGGTCTTTAAGTGTCAGTCAGTTGGAATCTGTTTGTTTGTTTGGTTGGTTGGTTGGTAGTTGTGGAATTGTTATCCATTAAACCTGATTTCACCTACACTAATATGTTGTAATAATTGGATGTCCTGACTTAATGATTTCAACCAACCAGAAGATATTACAAATATCAAATTGAGTTTTGTGTGCAACAATTATGGCTTTGGATCAGACTTCAAAGAGAGATCTAAGAGACTCAAATGATTCGTATAAAATTGAAGACACATTCAAATATTGATAGAGTGACCTTGCTAGATGGATGTTTATGATGCCAGAACATAATAATATGTAAAATGTGACCCATTTCAGGTATGTAGATATGTTGTCATACTGAGAAATATTCACAAACCCAACCATCTTGAGTTCTTAAGTTTATAGTTTTTTTTTTTTTCATTTAAAGTCTATAGTTTTATGGAAGGAACTGCAAACTTAAATGTCTTCAGGGTTTAGGACATTAACATAAGTAGGAAACAGGTTTGTATCTAAGAAAAAGTATGATGTCTTATTCTTTCAGTTTGTCATCTTTTTTTTTATTATTATTATTTTTATTTTTCTGTAAAGATGTCTCACTTCATAACTGCCAGAATCCTTGTAGGAATTCATCCCCAAATGCAGACTTCAAAACATTGATCACTATCCTGACAGATTTCTGGTTGAATGAGTGACCTGATGCTTTCAGATTTTCTTGTTTGGGCATCCTTTCTTCTCCCTCATATCTGGTGGTGGGTGGAAAACTTTGTTCTCTATGTTTGTGTTGAGACTCAGGAGAGACATCACCACTCAGGAGAAAGTCTTCTGGTGGCTCTGGCAGAGCACACAAAGTAAGCAAAAAATGTGAGATCTGATAGATGGTTTGTTTTTTGAATTAGCATTAATGTTAGTGTTAGTTTATCGGTCAGAGCAAGGCACAAAGCCCACCTATTAGTCAAAGACTTGGAAATAACACTCTCCCCAAAAGGAGGACATATTGAAAGGGCAGATCAGGATAGGTAAATAACTGAGACAAATCATCCAATCTACCAAAAGAGTTCTTATATTATAAATAAGTGATGTTATAATAAGCTCATAACATAAATATAATGAAAAATTACTGTTGCAGTATCCTTGATATAAGAATATAATCTCAAATGATTGAGAATGTGGTATATTCAAGAGCCCATACCTCCATTGAGAAGAGTTGGGACCAATAAGCTTTGGCTAATTATTGCTAGACAGGGGGGGCTAGGACTGAGGGATATTCTGTTGTCATAAAATGAAAGTTTTTATGTGAAGTTAATGTATTTAGAAAGCTGGTTCTATTTTTTAAAACATTCTGCAGGTTCCATGAAGTAGACGTACAGGTGAATTGACCATT